AAATTCTGTCAACTTTGCTGTTTGTTGGAAAAGAAAGAAAATTACAGACCAATTTCTCTGATGAACAAAAATCCTATATAAAGCATGAGCAAATTAAATCTAAAGATGTAAAAAGGAAAATTCATCACAACCAAGAGTGGTTTATTCTAAGAATGTAAGAATGATTTCATATTTAAAAAAAATTCACCACAATATCAGAATATTTTTATTCAGTGCAAAATACTTCTTAACTTCCCTTTAGATTTCTTATTTGACCCATGGGTTACTTTGAAGTGTGTTATTTCCATATATTAGATTTTCCGGATATCTTTGTTATTGACTCCTAACTTTATTCCATTGCAATAATAGAGCATTGTTTGTATGATGTAAATCTTTCAAAATTTATTGGGACTTGTTTGATAGCACACAACATGGTTTATCTTAGTAAATGTTCAGAGTGTATTTGAAAAGAATGTGTATTCTGCTGTTGTCATGTGGAGCATTCTGTAAATGTGAATTGGACAAGCAGGTTGATAGTGTTATTCAAGTCTTCTTATATCCTCTCTGATTTTCTATCTTTCCTATCAATTTTTGAGAGTGGGAGTATAGAAATCTTCTAACATAACTAAAACTTCTAACATAACTATCTTCTATCTATTTCTCTTTGTACCTTTTGCTTCATGTATTTTGAAATTCTGTTATTTGGTACATAAACATGTAGGATTGTGGGGAAAGGATTTTTTTTTTTTTTTTAGTAGAGCTAGGTTAACTTTCTCCATCTGAAAAACATTATCTTCACCCTACTTCACATTATATATAGATATTTTTGTGTGTGTGAGGAAGATTAGCCCTAAGCTAACATCTGTTGCCAATCCTCCTCTTTTTGCTGAGAAAGATTGGTTCTGGGGTAACATCCATGCCCATTTTCCTCTACTTTATATGTGGGACGCCTGCCACCGCATGGCTTGATGAGCGGTGAGTAGGTCCATGCCCAGGATCCGAACCAGCAAATCCCGGGCCACTGAAGTGGAATGTGCGAACTTAACCACTACACCACTGGACCAGCCCTTCACATTATAATTTTACAAAGAGTTTTTTTCCCAGATGAATTGTAAATCTAAATGAGAAAGGAACAATCATAGAGCTTTTGGAGAAAAACACAGAAGCACATCTTCAAGACTCTGTAGTAGGAAAAGACTTCATTACAGGGTTATAAAAAGCAGTAACCATAAAAGGAAAACTGATAAATTAGAATACATTAAAGTAAAGAGGGCCGGCTCCGTGGCTTAGCGGTTAAGTGCGCGCGCTCTGATGCTGGCGGCCCGGGTTCGGATCCCGGGCGCGCCCCGAGGCACCACTTCTCCGTCCAACGCGAGACCGAGTCCCACGTACAGCAACTAGAAGGATGTGAACCTATGACATACAACTATCTACTGGGGCTTTGGGGGGAAAAAAATGAATAAATACAATCTTTAAAAAAAAAAATAAATAAATAAAATAAAATAAAGTAAAGAATATTTATTCATTAAAATAATAAAGTGAAAGAGCAAGATGTGGAGTGTTAGAATATCTGTAAATCATATATCTGACAAAGAACCTGTACCCATAGTATATAAAAATGCCTACAGATCAATGAGCAAAAGGCAGACAACCCAATTAAAAAAATGAGCAAAAAAATGTCATTATCTTAAAAAAAATATTCTGATGTATTTAAACAGTGTGGATCACATGATATAAAGACTGTTGATACAAAAGTCAGTATTTTAATGCCAATAAGCATATGAAAAGCTTAACGTTATTCCTCATCAGAGAAATGTAAGTTAAAACCACTACACATCCACCACAATGGTTAAAATGAAAAGACTGACAATATCGGGCATTGGTGAGGATGTGGCACAAACTGGAACTCTCATGTTGCTGATGGGAGTGTAAATTAGTTTAGACACTTGGCAAAATTGTTTGGCATAACAACTAAAGCTACATACACACATACCCTATTACTTTACAAGACCATTCCTAGGTATATGTCCCAAATAAAAGAGTGCATATATCCACCAAAAAGATGTATAAAAATGTTCAAAGCAGCTTTACTGATGAAAGTCAAAAACTAGAAACAATCCAAATGTCTACCAAGAGGAGACAAGAGGAACAAATTGATGTATAGTCATACAATGAAACAGCACACAGCAGTAAAAAAGAATGAACTACATGCAACATGGATGAATCACAAAAATATTAAGATGAGCAAAAGAAATCAGACTCCCCCCAAAAAAGAGAGTATACTCTATATTATTTCATTTATACGAAGTCCAGGAACAGGCAAAACTAATTCATGGTGACAAATGTATGAACAGTTATAGTGGGGAGAGGGGAAATGTAGATCCTGACTGGAAAAGATTATAAGAAAACCTGGAGAGAAAGACAGGTCCTATTTTAATTTGGGTTGTACCTACATGAGTATACATAAATGTAAAAATTCATCAAGCTATACATCAAAGACTTGTGAACTTCATTATATGTATTATATTTCAATACAGAAAAATGGATGAGCTATTAATAGAGTAAAAAAACAAAGTAATAGAGTGGTAATACATATATGACAAAGGACTTATATCCAGAATATATAAAGATCTCAAAAAAATCAATAAACAAAAAGCATACAACCTAATAGAAAAATGGGCAAAAGATTTAAACAGCCATTTTACAAAAAAGGATATCCAGGGCCGGCCCCGTGGCTTAGCGGTTAAGTGCGCACGCACCGCCACTGGCGGCCTGGGTTCGATCCCAGGTGCACACCGACGCACCGCTTCTCCGGCCATGCTGAGGCCGCATCCCACATACAGCAACTAGAAGGATGTGGAGCTATGACATACAACTATCTGCTGGGGCTTTGGGGGAAAAAATAAATAAATAAAATTATTAAAAAAAAAAGAGGTAAACATTTAAAAAAAAAAAAAAGATATCCAAATACCCAATAAACATATGAAAGGTGCTCAACTTCATTAGCCAGAGAAATGCAAATTAAAACCACAATGTGATGCCACTACACATCAACCAGAATGACAAAAATTAAAAAAAGACAATACAAATACTGGCAAAATTGCGTAAAAACTGCAACTCTCATTCCCTACAGAACAGAATGAAAATTGGCTCAATTACTTTGAAATCATTTTGAAAAACCAACAATATCTAATAAAGGTGAACACAGGCATACTCCTTATCAATGCCCAGATAGAGGAGATATCCTTAATAAGTAAATATTAGCAGAGCATTTAAAAAAGTAATTATTGCAAGATTAAGATTAGGTTATCTTTATTATTCTTCTTAGCTCTAGAACAATGAAATTTAAAAAAATTATGAATTATTTTAAACGCAGTATAATCACATTAGATGTGTTGCTGGCCTAAAGAAAACAATTCATCACTTTTAAGATCTCAATAAATAACTGAGGACAGACACTTGCAATGAATAATATTTTATAATTTTTTTTTTTTCACAATTACCAACAGACCTCAATGCTGTGAGCCCTGCAAGGATAAACTAGAGAAATGCCGGGCCAAGAGCCAACAGCTTCACCTTTTTGCTGAGACTCATGCTCTCCATCTTAGCCTTCAGCAGCTTCATCTTATTCATAGTTATTGAATTTTCAATTATCTGTTGCCCAGAAGGAGAAGGCTCAATTTCTTCATCCTCATCAGTGTACAAATTATACACGGAACCACCACTGCAAAGAAAACGATAATTACTATTGAAATGTGCCTGATACTTCCCCAATGACTAAAAATACTCTATGTGCAATAAAAACTACAGATGCTGCTAATGATAAAACAATAAATATATCTTGTCAATGTAAGTTTAAGGCAAATTTATTTCAAAAATACATTTCTTAGGAGAAAAAAAATGAATGGGGATAAATATCATGATCTAGCGTTACTGAAAATCAAGTACAGCTGAGCTTTTTGCAGTCAGTATACCATAAGTGAAGATCTTTTGGCACCTGCTGTATCATTCCCACAGAAGCAAAATCCATTTCCACAAGAATGTTCTGATTTCATTTTATCTGCTAAGGGTAATAACTGTGAAACCTAGACTGCAGGCTGATCAGATTTCCATTAACCAGAATAAAAAAGAAATTGACAAAGAAAAGTCTAGATTTTGATTCACCCTGTGAGGATTCTCACTAAAAAAGGAACTCATATATAAAGTGTCATCAGAACATTTTCTGTTCTTAAAGAACAACAACAACAAAATAAGGATAATTTAAGATTTTTTTCAGCATGTTTGGAAATGTAACCACCTAAAATAGCATAGATTTTAAAATGAAAAAAGACATTCCAGTCAAGTCATGACACAAATTATTAAACATGTAAAACGTTTCAATTACTGATCAATCACTATGACATTTATTCATACCTTAACATAATTATGATTTGGAGGCCCTTCTCTTTGCATAATATAACAGCACTTATCACACTATCCTCACATTTATACTTATATATCTATCTTTACCTCTTACTGCCCCATATGTTAGCAAGTTGAAAGCAGATAATAGGCCTTATTCTTCTTCCTAGTTTTAGCACCTGGCATAGTGCTTGGCACATAGTCAATAAATATTTGTTGTACTGAACACAAGCGTTATTGAAATTTCAGTCAGCTTTTTCAATAATGGGAAAATTAGAACGGTAAGGGTTTGAAAAAAGCACCAGCTCACCATATTTGAAAAATGACTAAAATTTTAAATAGAGCAGATTAAGAATGTGTATTAGTCACCGTGCCTGACTTATAGGAAAACTGAAGTACGCATCTATGCTAATAAAGTATGAAGGTTAATAAGATTTCAATATGGTTGTAAGAAATGGAAACGATTTAGGATAGCCTTAAGAGGGCATATTCCATAATACTTCTGAAGCACATACTACCACCACACAATGGCAAAGGAGAGAGTAGATAGCCTCATTCCTAAATTTTACATGGTGAACTGATGACATTTTGAAATCGTGGGTTAATTACATGCACTGCAGGGGTGGGTATCAGAAAGAACAATGGCAGGAATTGGTCTCCATAACCAATTCAGTCCCTAGTGCCTGACTCCTGGCCATCACTTCTACCCATTATAGATGCCTACCACAGCATGAAAATTGAGACAACAGACATTAACATTGTTACCATTTACTGAACACCTACTCTGCCGGCACTTTCCACATATTATTTCTAATCCTTACACAAAACATATAAGGCAATATTATATCCCATTTTATAAATGGAGAAAGTACAGTTGAGAGAGTTAATTGATTTTGTTCAAGACCAGAGAGCTAGTAAACGGTGAACCTAAAATTTAAATTTCCCATCTGTCTGGTTCCAAAGTCTATTCTTTATACTACTTCCTGTTGCTTTCCCAGGCACCAAATAACAGACTTTACTGTGTACCCAAATAAGTGACAAAACCTATATATGTGAAGGCTCTTGTCTTGAGATTAACTATATCTGAAAAGGAGGGTTGAGTGAAGATTTTTGCCAATTCACTCTTGGAGTTGGAAAAAACGATTCAAGTAAACTCTCTATTCTTGGTTACCTTGCAATATTTTAACTTTGAGTACTTCTCTGTTATATCCTGTTGCATTTTAACTTTAAGTACCCATATTGAATACAGAAAGAGGTTTCTGACTCAACCTTTCTGTCATAAAAAATTGGTCCTTTACTGTCTTCCCATGGAGAACAGTGTGTGTGTAAGTACATAAAAAAGTACAATCATGATAAATATTTCATCAGATGCATTTTAGAGGATTAAAAACACTTAAATTCACCTAGGTTTTTTCAAAGAACCACATTATTGTGTTTTCTCTCACAAAGCACAGATTCATGAGATCAGTTAGAAGCCAACCACAATTTTTTTCTAAATGGAAAAATATGACTAGACTAGGATAACATAGTAATTTTTAAACAATCCAAAAATGTCTTTCTTTATATTTAAATATTCTAAATATTTTCTTGAATGCTATATTTAACTTTTTACAAACCTTTAAATCTAATATGATTAAATAATAAGAGATGGGAAAATGTAATATTTATTTCAACACGAATATTGTTCATGCCAAAGCTAAGTCTTCATGCGACTTTTACAGACAAGTTACCATTTGACAGAGATTGGATTGGTGGTTACCAGAGGGGAAGGGGGGAGGGAGGAGGGCGAAAGGGATAATTCGGCACATGTGTGTGGTGATGGGTTGTAATTAGTATTTGGGTGGTGAACATGATGTAATCTATGCAGAAACAGAAGTATAATGATGTATACCTGAAATTTATACAATGTTATAAACCAATGTTACTGCAATAAACAAAAAATTAAAAAAAAGAAAAGTCTTTCAATGCTTCCTTTTATTTCTTTCCGCTTAAAAAAGCAGTAAGGTGGCACAATTAACTAAAAAGATTTGAGATTAAAAATGACTGATACTAGATTCTGTATCAGAATTAATCAAATAAGCACCCAATTCTCAATGTTTCTTCTTAGAGCAGGAATTGGCAAACTACGCCCACAGCCCAAATTCAGTCTACCACTTATGTGGCCCACAAGCTAAGAATGGTTTTTACACTTTTCAATGCATGAAAAAAAAAATTATTTTATAACGTGAAAATTATATGAAATTCAAATTTGTGTTCATAAATAAAAAGTTTTATTGGAATATAGCCACACTCATTTGATCACATATTGCATATGGCTACTTTTGCACTACAATGGCAAGAGTTGAGTCGCCACAACAGCAATTGTATATGGCTCTCTCACTGCTTTGCGCTGTAGCTTGGCACACTACAAATCACAGTGGCACAGCCATAAATCAACAGCATTTTGAGTGCCAAGTGTAACACTGTAGTGTGACTTTTTTTTAAATTAACAATATATTTCACAACATATCAACACAAGAAGAGTGGACTTGGAAACTTGCAGTTTTAAGGCACTATATAGAGTGGATTATTTTGTTATCTGTTAAATGGCAAAGCATTGTGTTCTCATGCAATGACACTACAGTTATCCTAAAGAAAAAACAACATATTTGGACATTGCCAGACTAAGGACTCATCACAATATTCCCAACTTGCAGGTCAGAAAAATTAGAAAATTTAAAATAAAAAATGAAAATGAGACAGCAACCAAAATAAGTTTCTGAGTGGCTTATTTACTAGCCATGGAAGGAAATCTGTTTACCAATAGTGAATTAATTAAACCATGTTTAATCATAGCAGTTGAAGAAATGTGTCCAGAGAAAATAAATTTGTTTAAAGACTACTCCTTTAGCAAGAACAGTTTCCCAAAGAGTTGACAACAATGGAAGCAACATCAGTAGTCAATTAAAAAATAAGACAAATGATTTGGAGTCATTTTCCTTGGCTTTTGATGAGTCGACATAAATTATCGATACTGTTCAGCTATTTTTCTTTATTCAGGGCATCAATACCAAGTTTGAAGTGACTGAAGAACTAGCTCCTATGAATAGTCTGCATAAAACACCTACAGGTAAGACTATTTTCAAAGAAGTTCCTAAAACACTAATTCAGCACAACTTGAAGCGAATTCTGCTACAATTGACGGAGTAAAAAATGTGTGGAACAGAAAAAACATTTGGTTGGACAAATTTACAAAGCTAATGAAAATGTAAAGTGTTTAAAGCCTATGGTTACTCATTGTATTATTCATCAGCAGGTATTCTGCAGTAAATATTTGAATCTATCCTGTATTATTGAACCAGTAGTGTCAACAGTAAACTTCATTTGTCTCAAGGACTTAACCATCAGTTCAATGGCTTGGCAGTAGTAGCAGTGTTGTGATTTTTTTTAGCTCAGGGCTGACATTTAATTTTTCTGAACGAGAAGAACCACCCTCAACTGCTAATATCAAACACTGAATACCTTTGGAAATTAGTTTTTGCTGTGTACTTGACAATGTTTCTTAATGAATTCCACCTAAAATTAAAAGGCAAGGGGCCGGCCCCGTGGCTTAGCGGTTAAGTGCACTTGCTCTGCTGCTGGCGGCCCAGGTTCGGATCCCGGGCGCGCACCGATGAACCGCTTCTACGGCCATGCTGAGGCCACGTCCCACATACAGCAACTAGAAGGATGTGCAGCTATGACATACAACTATCTACAGGGGCTTTGGGGGGAAATAAATAAATAAAATTAACGATAGATGTTAGCTCAGAGCCGGTCTTCCTCAGCAAAAAGAGGAGGATTAGCATGGATGTTAGCTCAGGGCTGATCTTCCTCACACAAAAAAATAAAAATAAAAAAAAAATAAAAGGCAAAACAGTACTTACGTGAGAAATTTATACTGCAGTAATGTCATTTTAACAACATTACTTTGAATCACACGTAATGGCACACTTGTCAAGAGTTAAAAACAAAGCGAGATCTCCATTCCCACACAAATTTGCAGCAGATGTACTTTCCGAACTCCAACTACACTCCCAGCACCATTTTCATACCTCGTTGCTAGTTAAAGGAAATTCCCATATTTCAAAATCTATTTAAATGTGCAATTGAGGAGTTCCACCTATCTTCAATTGGACGTGATTCATCTTCAATGTAATGACATGCTAAAGGCAAACAGCAAGAGAAGACTCTAATAGAATTCTATAAATGCCATCCAAGTAATGGACATGCTCAATTAAAATCATACGCTCATGGACTGATATCAGTGTTTGACAGTACCTATCTGCGTGAAAAGAAATTTTCCAAGATAAAATACATAAAATCTCATTACAGATTAATATTAACAGGTGAACTTTTGCAAATGATTTGCAAATTTCATAGGCAACACTAATTTTCAACCCAATTAAGTAAAATATTACTCCCACAAAAAAGGATTCCATTCTTCTCATTAGTAGACCTGATTTACATATACACACACGAAAGTACTCAATTATTTTTCTTTTATTTTGAATTTTGTCAGTAAAAATTTTGTGGAAATTTGTTTTCTCTCTTATTATGTAAGCACCTGCATAGTATCTTTGACTTTCTCTCTTGGCCTAAAATCCTAAAATGGTTACCATCTGGCCCTTTACAGAAAAAGCTTGGTGCCCTCTGTTGCAGAGGTAAGAAAGCTTCCCCTAGAATAGGCAAGATAAATGTCCTTCAAGGTATTACCAGAAAAAGTTTTCTACTCCCCTTTCTCATCCATCCTATCCCTTGTCCAATTCTAGAAGGTGAATAGAAAGGAACAGAAAAATTCAAAAATTATCTTGAGAGGAACAATAATACAATTTTAATTGAAATCCACAGCAACATTTTGATTATGTCTTAAACACAAATAGAAGTTGGCTGGGGAAAAAATGGAGTAAAAGGAGGAAATGACATTTCAAGCAAAGGGAAAAAAGATGTGCAAAAACATGGCATAATGAAAGAGACCTGAAAAACTGATGCTAAGTTGTAAAGGGCCTTACATGCTAAGCTAAGGAGCTCAGGTTTTCTCCCTTAGGAAAGGAGACCCAAAAGTAGATGTGTTAAGGAAGAAAACCGAAACAGTGAGCTAGCACATGGAGAGACTGGTATGAAAAAGCTCTACTCACAGTCCAAGTGAGAGACACTGGATTAAGGCTGTAGCCTTCACTGCTCCCTCTTCCCTAGTTCTAGCCCACATGTTTATGCCACTTTTGAAGTGCTAACCAGATCCTGACACGTTAGAGTTAATAGTCAACAGCCATTTGTCACCATCTGCTCTCTGAGGCCACAAAGAAAGGGTCTGATCTTTCTTCCACATAACACTCTGTGGGGGTCAGAATCCAAAAGCAATCCCCACGACTCCCACTCCCTGGTGCTCACACCCTGGACATTCTCCTACCCTTGAGTGTGGGCATGACCTATGACTTGCTTCTAGCCAACAGAATATAGCAAAAGTAAAGGGATTTTGCAGATGTAATTTAGGCCCAAATCAGCTGATTTTGAGTTAATCAAAACGGAGCTGAGGGCAGCCTCTAGCCAATAGCCAGCAAAAAATCAGGGCCCTCAGTCATATAACTGCCAGAAAATGAATTATGCC